GTGTAATGTTGTACAAGAAATATGACTTCTTTTGGTAATTATAATAATTCACAAATCAACTAAGTATTGCATTAAAATCATACATAATTATTAGAACTGGGGTTAATCTAGGATGCAACCACAAAAGGGATTTTGATGTAAACATCTAAAGCACGACTATACTTAAATAAGCCCTTCCAACTTTTTTATGCATCCAAGGAAGTATTGGTGGCCATCTTATACAAAAACTTATATTAGGAAAGCTTCAAGTAAATCTCAAACTCTATGCAATCCCTAGCTGGACTTCTAATCCTTAGGTAATGTCAAAGTTTTGATCATTAAAGACAATAGCGATATAAAGACAAACTATCTTCACCTTCTATTTAGGATACACACGACATCCCCCCTCCCAATCAAGGTACAATCAATCCTAAGGGATTTGATTTGACCTTTTTCACATAGGTTAACACCATCAAGTAATGCTATGGCAAATAATCTTGGATAGATAAAATATTCTTGGTGGATTTCTCTAGACCCCTTCCACACGTGTTAATGTCATAGAGCAATGCTCTAAAAAATAACCTAAGATAGGTAAAACATCCTTGATGGATTCCTATCGACCTCTTCCACATATGTTAACGTCATCAAGCAATACTCTCACAAATAATCTTATATAGGCCCAAAATCATTGATGGATTTCTCTTGATGTCTTATACATAGGTTAACATCATTAAGCAAATGCTCTAGCAAATAACTTTAAATATGTTAAACATCCTTTGTGGATTTCCTCTTAACCTCTTTCACATTCATTAACATCATTGATAAATGCTCTAGCAAATAACCCTAGATAGGTCAAATATTATCATGAAATAATCTAACAAATAATCTCATATAGGTCAAATATCTTCAATTGACTTCTCTCAACATCTTCTATAGTAATTATTGTTATTAAGTAACACTTTGATATATTTATCTCATTACCTTCTTCAAGAAAATATAAAAATAATATTATATACAAATAAGTATAATATTATATAGAGAATACTCTCCCCCCATCTTTCTCTTCAAGTTTCTCTCTCTCTCTCTCTCTCTCTCTCTCTCTCTTCCTGTCTTTATCTCTACCCGTCTCGCTCTCATACTCTCTCCCTACCTCTCTCTCACACTCTCTCTCTCTCTCTGTATCGATCTCTCTATTATGCTCTTTCATCTCTCTCTCTCAAGCTTAATGCATCAAATATTTTGATGATTCTTCTTATTTTTAAATTATTCCTCGATTATGCTCCTTGCACTAATTTAATTTTTAAACTCCCTCTAATTTAAAATTTCACCCTATAGATTATCTATATTTCTTCTCTTATTATATTCTCTCTATTTTTTCTTAGTGTTCCTTGTGAGTATTGCAAATAAGATTTTGACATTGCCCACATATATTTTGTTTCCACAACAACAACAACAACAACATCAAGCCTTTATCCCACTACGTGGGGTCGGCTACATGAATCCTTTTTCTCCATTGTGTCCTATTAAAAGCCAAATTCTCGTTTAAATCTAATAAAGAAAGGTCATTCCTAATATTTTCTAACCAAGTCTTTTTAGGTCTACCCCTCCCTTTCTTAACACAAGTCAAATCTAATACCTCTACTCTCCTAACTGGGTCGTCGGAAGGCCACCTTTTTATGTGACCAAACCATCTAAGGCGACTCTCTCTAATCTTATCTTCTACTGGAGCTACTCCAACCTTTTCACGTATATGCTCATTTCGTATCCTATCTCTAAGGGTAAAGCCACTCATCCATCTAAGCATCCTCATCTCTGCCACACTTAACTTAGTATTATGCTTCTCTTTTAATGGCCAACATTCGGCACCATAAAGCATTGCAGGCCTCACTACCATCTTATAGAATTTTCCCTTAAGTTTGAGGGGTACATTTCTATCACATAACAAGCCCGATGCATTCCGCCACTTCAACCATCCAACTTGAATTCTGCTGATAATATCCCCATCTATTTCACCATCACTCTGAACAATAGATCCAAGATACCTAAAACGTGTACTCTTATTAATGACTTGATCGCCCAAAGTCACAATCCCCTCGCTAGGACTATTACTGTTAAAATTACACTCCATATATTCCGTTTTAGATCTACTCAAGCGAAAACCTTTAGACTCTAAGGTTGACCTCCATAATTCAAGTTTACCTTCAACTCCCTCTCTAGTCTTATCAACAAGAAGAATATCATCAGCAAAAAGCATACACCAAGGTACATCATCTTGCAAATGTCTAGTGAGAACATCCATGACTAAAGCAAATAGATATGGGCTTAAGGCTGATCCTTGATGTAACCCAACCGAAATAGGGAAATACTTGGTCAATCCACCTTGTGTTTGAACACAAGTAATAGCTCCTGCATACATATCTTTAATGATTTGAATATAAGCATTATTGACTCCTTTCTTTTCAAGAACTCTCCATAGCACTTCTCTTGGAACTTTATCATATGCTTTTTCTAAATCAATAAATATCATATGTAGATCCTCCTTATTTCCTCTATATTTTTCCATCAAACCTCTGAATAAATGTATGGCTTCCATAGTCGACCTACCCGGCATGAATCCAAATTGATTTTGAGAAACATTAGTATCATGCTGCAACCTATGCTCCATAACTCGCTCCCATAGTTTTAAAGTATGACACATTAACTTAATACCTCTATAATTCGTGCAATCCTGTGCATCGCCTTTATTCTTAAAAATAGGAATTAATACACTCATTCTCCACTCATCTGGCATCTTTTTAGTCTTCAAAATAGTATTAAAAAGTTTAGTAAGCCAAGAAATCCCTTCATCTCCTAAGCATTTCCACACCTCTATTGGAATATCATCAGGTCCAACAGCTTTTCCACCCTTCATTCTATTTAAAGCCTCTCTAACTTCAGTTTTACTAATACGCCGATAAAAACAGAAATCTTTACTTTCATTTAGGGTGCTAAGGTCACTATAGTCAATCTTATTTTCACACTCTTCATTAAAAAGTTTAGCAAAATATCTCATCCATCTTTGTTGAATATCATCTTCTAAGAAAAGTATTTTTTGATCTTCATCCTTAATACACTTCACTTGAACTAAATCCTTACTACTCCTATCTCTTTGTTTGGCTAACTTATACATATATCTTTCTCCCTCCTTAGTATTTAATCTATTATATAAATCGCTAAAAGCTAATGTCTTTGCATCGCATATTGCTTTCTTAGAATCCTTACGAGCCACTTTATATAATTCCCAATTATCAGAATTTTTAAAATTAAACCAATTTTTATAACAAATCTTCTTATTTTTAATCTTTTCTTGCACAATTGGATTCCACCACCAACTATTTTTACTATTAGGAGCTTTTCCCTTAGATACTCCAAGCACATCTTTTGCAATATTCTTAATATCAGTAGCCACTTTTTCCCACATAATATTAGCATCCTCATGCACAGACAAAATCTTAAGATCTAAAATCTTACTCACAAAAATATTTTTGTTAATATTCTTTAAATGCCCCCATTTAATCCTAGAAAATTGTTTTACTTTATTTTTTATTTTATGCCCCTTTATCTTAAAGTCCAAAACTAATAATCGATGTTGGGTACATAAATTTTCACTCGGAATAACTTTACAATCTTTGCAATCTAAACGATTTAATTTTCTAATAAGAAAATAGTCAATCTGGGTTGTATTATATCCATTTTTATAAGTGATGAGATGCTCATTCCTTTTCTTAAATAAGGTATTAGCAATTGAAAAATCATAAGCTAAACAAAAATCTAATATGGTCTTGCCACCTTCATTCGTCGTTCCAAATCCATGGCCACCATGAATGCTTTTAAAATCATCTACCTCTCTACCAACATGTCCATTTAAATCTCCTCCAATAAAAACTCTTTCTTCAAGAGGTATATTTTGTATTAATTCTTCTAAGTTATTCCAAAAATTTAATTTAGAACTCATATCCAAACCTACTTGAGGAGCATAAGCACTTATAATATTAACAATCTTATCCTCAACAACAATTTTTAAAGCTATAATTCTATCACCAATCCTATTAATTTTTATAACATTATCCTTTAAACTCTTATCTATAATGACACCTACACCATTTCTAGTACGACTCCTACCCGAATACCAAAGTTTAAATCCTAAACTATCGATTTCCTTGGCCTTCTCTCCAACCCACTTAGTTTCCTGAATGCATAAAATATTTAATTTCCTATGAATCATAATATCTATTAACTCCATTAATTTACCTGTAAGGGAACCTATATTCCAAGTTCCTATCCTAATTTTAGTATCATGGACTAGCTTCTTTGCCCACATCCGTCCTTGATGCGGGAACCCTTGCCTATTTAACACTGCACCCGGGCGCCGGTGCAGCGGCCCTTGCACACTTGTCACTGTATTCAGGCCATACAGCGCGTCGCTTCCAGGGGACGCCCTAGCATTAACACAATTTCTTAAAGGATTCATGTAATCAAAAAATAACTTTACAGCGCGTCGCTTATATTTTGTTTCCAATAACTCAAAAAATAACTCAAGTAATCATTGATATTTTATAATCATAAATATATTATAAATAGAAAAATATTTTAATTGTCAAGTAAAAAATTAGTCACTATAATAAGTTTATATAAATATTTGAAAGAATAAATAAATAATGTGAAAAATGTAATATTATTGATTACTAATCTTTTTAATGATGCTATATTATTTCATAAATTATCTAAATAAATTATTTTTTAATATTTACTTATTTATTATCATGTAAAGTGTCGCACGTATAAAAAAAATGTAGGCTGCTTCATTAGCATTTGATATGTGATTATTACATTGAATTGGCCAAGGCTATTACTGTAGTTAAACTTGATGACACGTAATAGTCCAGACAAATGGGTGGGGTTTTCTCTTGCACTTATATCTATTCCATTACTTGTCCAAACTTAATTGTCTTTTTATATTTTTTTTAAAAAATTTCACTCGAAGACATTATAATACCCATGGACTTTTGATCATCATCATCACCACTATCATCAGATTTTTTTTTATACAAAAATTGAAGATTTTCAACCCTACCGCTCTTTCTTCCACCTCTCCTCCCCCTCTTCTCTCCTTCCTATGAAAGTAGCCACCAAATCCACGATTAATCCAAGGAGAAACAGCACGACTAAACTTTCTCTTGCCATCTACTATTTCTTCTCATTTTCCATGTAAGCAAATCTTGCTGCTTTTTTTTTTTCCTTTTTTATTTCGATCTTTCGTCTTCTTTTTGATAGAACACAACGTTGTTGGTTTGAGGGGGGAAAATCCATCTTTTCTACTAAATCTGATATAAATCCATCCATCCCAAAATCAGATCTTTTGGCCTATTTTGTATCATTCGGTGCTTGGAAGGGGAACTTATAGTACATTTGCTGCATTATCCTTCTTTTACCTGGGTTATCTCTGAAGTTTTCCCTCCTCAATCTTTCCATCCTGGGCTTTGAATTTCTGCATTTCCTAAAAAATGGAGTTTCATCTTCCTTTTGGTGCAGAAAGTGATGACCTTGGTAAAATCGTAATTCTTTGATTTTTGGATAACTAAAAGATGTGAGCTGCGGCATTTTCCTAAAGGCGAATGCCCTCAAACATCATCAAGCAGCATTAACAATCTTTGAGTAAGAAAATGTTTAGCCCACAAGCTCAAAGGGAGATCTCCTATGGATTTCCCTCTCTAATAGCTCAATGGAAAAACACCATCATTACCACTACAAGCACCACCAAAGCCACCCACAATACCAGAAATTCATGGAAAACACCTTGTTTAAATGTCAAATTCCAAGATCTTTATGATTTCGCAGTAGAGGGGAACATTGACGATGTTAATGTGTTGAATGAGGTGGGTGAGAGGGTGAGGCAGCAGGCAAAGGAATGGTGGGCTCTCGAGGCAAGCAAGGGTGCAAATTGGTACTTGCAACCACAGATTTCATCCAATGGGGAAGGCATCAGCGTGGCCTCCCTGAAGCTTTCAGTTCTTACGAACACGATTTCACTTAGGAAGCTCATAAGGAAGGGTATACCTCCGACTCTGAGGCCCAAGGTGTGGCTCTCAGTTTCAGGTGCAGCAAAGAAAAGATCAACTGTGCCTGAGAGCTACTATGAGGATCTGATTTTGGCTACACATGGAAAGGTCACACCGTCAACGAGACAGATTGATCATGTAAGTCTTTTGATTGATATTTTTTAGATGGTAGTTCGAAGCCACTTGCTTGTGATTGTTTATTGCAATTTGAAATTTTCTTTGAGATAAAGTTGCAATTGTTTTAATATAATATGGTATTTTGATTGTGATCTTGATGTTTGAATGAGTTATATGTTGTACCGGTCATATTAGTTGGTGATGTTAATTCACACCTTTTCTGATTGTGTACTAGTCTTATAATGTTTATAATTTGTTTGGTATTTTAAAGAAATTGCTGATATAGGTACTAAAATAAAATAATTATTTCTTGATGCAGTTCATGGCAAGGGTAATTAATTAGTTATTAGAAATTACTGGTACACATGGCAGGTCTTCTTAAACTTTGTGCTGTAATATAAAGGTAGTTTAATGTTGTTGTGCTTATTGATAAGCTATTGGCATTTTTTTTATAGACTATTACTTTTATCATATGTTAAGTGATGGTTTCATAGCATCTTTCTTACTTCTTTCTGGTTTTTTGTGCTTATTCATAAGTTATAGTGCTTGAAATCAAGAACTAAGTGCTTTGAATCAGTTCTTCTTTCGGCTCTTATTTGTAGCCTGCAAGCAACTTTACAACATCATTTCATGACCTTCGTGTAGCATAGCAAATTAAGTCAAACAATATTGTAAAAATGGATGCTCCTTATTTGAACTGTCTTGGTATAGGTCAGATTTTCTTAAAAGTCATCTATTGACTATTTATCATGCAATTTTTCATTTTTGAGTGAATGAAATATGTCATGTGCTCTATAAGCATCCAAATATAACATTTTCTTATCAAATATAATTTCAACTATGAATGGAATTAACCTTTTTGCATTAGTTTTTGTTAGTTAGAAAACAAAGCAAAGCAAGCCTGGTTTTTAAGGTGATAAAGTTACTGTGTTGTGTAGCTAAATGAGGATTTAACTTTCCTCTATATTTCACTTCCACTTGCTTGTGATTAATTGAAAGCAGATTGTGCTTATTAATGTTGGCAAGGTAGTATGGAGATGAAATAAACAGTTGTATAGACCTTGGCTTCTTAATTTGTCATACCAGTCCACCAAGACATCCAAAAATAGCAATCCAGCTGATTCTTTTTGGCAACAGACTATTGTCTATTTTGTTTGCATCCTTTTAGAATAATTGAAGATTTAAAAAAGGTGACGTTGATGTGGTTGTGCCGCAACTGTACAATTGAATAATGACTCCAAAAGATGTAAATCAATTTAGGTATGCATGTTCTGATAAATTTCATTGCTGATAAGGATTTCACCTGGTCAATAATTTATTGAGTCAATTTTGAGTGTTTAATTCTACATTGTAAACATCTAAAACCTAAATGTTACCCTCGTTTCCAACTCACTAATTCACAACAAAACTAGTAATTTTCTTTTTCTTAATTTTTACACATTGAGTAACTTATAGCTAGCTCCCTTCTATCACTAAGATAAAAATGATTTTTATTTTGAAGGTAAGAAAAACCAAGGGGAAGGTGGTTTTAAAAACTTTTAAAAATAACCAAAGAAGTACAGAAAAGAAAACTTGGAAGTAAATGCAAATAAATCTCTAATGTAAAGAAAATTGTAGATAAACAATGCATCATGATGCTTACATGGTGCAGCCAATTGCTGACATACATTCATGCCTTCTCATACTCAGATTCCACTGCCTTGAGCCTGAAAATACAAGCTCCGCCCTTTCATTCCTCAAGCTGGTGGAGAATAGCATTACACTTTAATATTGATAGTAACAAGAACTGTAAGAATCAACAAATGGAGTAAATGATGATCTATGCAAGTTGATTGTAGCCATTCGATGCAAACAACCCTAGTAATCTCAACCACACATGCAAAACAAATCACTTTCTCCTAATGGCGTTACAGCTCCCTCTTAACATCTATGGCATGTATATCTTCACTGCTCATTTAATAGTGAACTTTATATCTCGTCCTCTCCAATCAAACAATTATGCTTATGCTGTTATACATTCTCTAGTTAAATGTCTATTCAAGCTTTCAAGGTATAAGAGATTACTGCTTAATAACAATTTGATCTTCTTTCCTATCCTACTCTTAGAAATCTATGGTTCTTGGAAGAAACAGTCACCCTTTTTCCTACATGTGGCCTCTACTCCTCTAAGATGGGTGACACTACCATTCTCTTGTTTCTCAAGTCTTTTATGTGAAATATTAAACACATTATCAACACTCAACTCACAAATGACAATTATCCCATGCAAAGATTACAAATTCTCAAAGTTTTCATGGCTAATGGCTTTGATGGTTTTCTTGAAGTATCCATAATCTACCCAAATAATTGGCGACATACACTGTAGGCCATCTCCCAATCCTTTTTATAATATGGTTGCTTGTAGATCAAAATATTGTAGTTGCTCTATTCTCCTCCTCCCTAACAATCTCAGTTCATTGAAATGCGGACAGATTTATTTTCAATTGGATCACTTGAGCGGATTTTGTTGACTCCAAGCATTGTTCAGTAGTAGTTCAGATATTATGTCTTATTCATTGTTGACTTTTCTCATTTTTTTGTGCATGTCCTATGCTTATAAAGTCTAAAATCACAAAAAAAAAAAAATCTCTTTGTAAATGACATTGAAAATCAATTCAATACTTGCATAAAATTTTTTCTTTCCATTGGTGATGGCAAATACACTAATCACAGCCTTCACAATTTTCCCACTGCTCACATACACCAATATAGTTTCCCATTCACCTATGAATAAAATGGCATCACTAAACACATACATTGTCACTCATTAAAAAAACCTGCACAGTACTCCATGAAGCTTACCTACGTTATCATCTTTTGGCTAACAAACTACTCACAGTAGTCTACCTAATCAATTGCATGCCATCTAAGATCGCAAATATGAAATCTTAATATCAATTATTTTACCATAAGCAACCAACATACTTTTGCCTCAAAGTTTTCAATCGCTCTTATTTTCCTTGGCTTCAGCCACAATCATGTCACAAATGAGCTCCATGCTCAACTTGGGGCATCTTTTTTCGCTACTCCTCTACAAACAATGGATACAATTTCTCATCATATTATCTTTTGATTAAACAACCTTTCCTTGTAATAAAAAACAACGTCCGCCCATCTCACCACTGTAATCATCATATCTTACTCAAACTCTAATTTCCTCTTCTTGTGCTCCTCCCTAATTATAGGGTAATCCTTCTCCCTCAACTTCATTGCTCTCAACAACCATTACTCCCATGCTACCAACCAATATGCTTTTAACCCTATTTGCTACCTGATAGGAAACACTTGAAGATTTAAAGTAAATTATATCAAGAGAGCAAAAACAGCAAGAAAATCTAATGGAACTTCAAGAAAACACAAATTTTATTACAAGAATAGAACTCACGGAACAAGATAAAATAAGATACAAGTGATCCTCAATTCAAGAGGAGGATCAATCTCTCCCAAATCTCTAGACGCCGCTAGAGCCCAAAGAAAACCTAAGGGATCTCAAATTTCAGCCAATTCAAGATGCCCTAACCCTAGGAAAATAAACTATTTAATGCATACAAAACAAAAGGAAATCCCTAAACAGTCCCTACATTCAAATTTCCCTCATACTTCCCTCAAAAATCCTTCCTAATCTGCTGTAGGGGAGAAGGGCGTGCGTTCAGCGCATACAAGAGAAGTGGAAGTTCTGCTTGGGTCGGTCCCATAGGGATCGCCTTGACCGGTCCAATGGACTAGTCTAACAATACTCCCCTCCCAAAGATCCATCTTGTCCGCAAGGTGGAAAGACAACTCCTTCCTCCATTCCCTCGTCATCACAAACAGTAAAAATCTGAAAAGTTCGTTCCTTACACCTATGCCCTGGAGTATACCTCTCGTCACATCTGAAATAGAGCTCCTTATGTAATTCCATTTTTGTGAGCTTCTTGAAGTTGTCCACATGTCTTTCTACTGTAGTCTTTTCCTTCGAAGTCCCCCAAAGAGTATCAAGTGTTGGCTCCTTGGATGCCAATAAGGTGATGGTCATCCTGTACAAGCCTATTGAGCTGCTGCCTCCGGTACTTCTCTCCAGGTGCCTCTGATCCTCCATCAACTGAGCTAGCTTCATAGTCTCTCCCAAGTCACGAGGTCTCATCAGTCTGACTGCTGCCCGGATCTCTGGTATCAATCTCTTCATGAAGTTTCCCTCTAGCACTGTCTTAGAAAGGTGGTCCAATTGGCTAGCAAGGTATTCGAACCTCTCCCGTTATTCTATTACTGAATCATCCTATGTCAAGGCTAAGAACTGCTCGTAGAAGTCTCCTCCCCTGACGGTTCATAAACATTCTACCAAACAATCCTTGAACTCTCCTCCAATGGTACCAAGACAAAGCCTTCCCTTTCAAATATAGGCCCGCTGTCGTTAGTCTCTCCTCCTCCATAAACTCATTGACGGTGATATATCTTTCTACCTTATAGATCCACCCGTGCGTGTCCTCCGCCTCAAAGATTGGCATCTTCAGTTTCCTCACCCTCGAATCACATCCGTTTCCCCTGAATTTTTCATAGCCTCCCATTCCTCGAAGAGGAGATGCTTCCCAATTGTCGCGATCTTCCCTCCGGCGATCATACTCAAACCCTTCATCAAAATCCCCTCTTTTTTCCAAATCATCACTCAGGTGATCGAAATCATCCCCTCTTCTCACAAAATCAGCACTACTTCTTTCATAGCCAATACTCATCAACTCCCTAAAAAGTGGTTCTAGGGGAGAAATTTCGTCTTCTCCCTCCATAATCTCTACTTTTGGATTTTCCCTTCCCCTCAACATGTTAGGATTCCCACCTCTTCCATGGCCGCTGGTAGTTTCCTTTGCCGCTGGATTGGGTTTGGCTCTAACCCAAAATCTAATCTTTCATCTTTACTTGAAGCATAAAGAGATTGACTATCATTTAATAAGAGAACATATTCTCTCTAATGAGATCAAAGTTCTTCATGCCAACTGTTGACATACTCA